GATTATTTTTTCAACCCAAATTTCCGTCAACAGGATTGGTCCATTCGACGTCACGTGGTACCAAGGACCATGGTATTATACTGATAATTTTTTGATAATTTTCTCTGGTAGTTCCTATATATTAAAAACAAAACAATACCCAGTCGAATTAACCCAAGATGTCAATGACAGATTCAATTCGATTGTAATTCCTCGTGGCTTTGACGTAAAAATGAGTAGATTTGGAGAGCATTCCCTACAAACCATCGACGAAAAAGTGAAGGGAAATGTTCCAGTTAATACAGTGAAATCGAAAAAAACAGTCTGGAATCAGTTTACAACTTTCTGTGATGAAAGAAAATACACGTTACGTGCGGACACTAGTGTTGAGCAATTGGCAAATATCCTCAAAGACTATGCTTACAACATGAAGAAAATCAATGGAGATGATTATAAAGAGGGCACCGTCAAATCAATGTGGAATCAGACTGCTAAATTACTCCAGGAAAAATATTTGAACGACTTCAACATCAACGTCAATCCATTTTCTGATGCTGTTTTTAAAACAGCGAGAGGAGCCCGCGATGCAAAACGCAGAGCACTCCAAGCGATTCCAGAAAAGCGGAAAGCGAGTGCAGTAGCATTGGGACAAGAGGATTGGGATACAATGATCAACGTGTGGGATGAAGAAACCCCTGATGGTCTGCAAAAAAAATTATTTATGATTATTTCGGTGGAATTGGCTTGGAGAGGCGGTGAGGGCTGTATGGCATCGATTCATCACTTCAAAGAAGAGCAAGGGAATGATGGAAGTGAGACGGGGCGTATTGAATACAATCCCATTTTTACCAAGACCACACAAGGGGGTGACAAAAAGTGCGCGGACAGCAAATGGTTAATTGAAAATCAAGAATTCCCTGATAAATGTCCAGTGAGGCTTATTAAGAAATTATGTGAGAAGAGAAATGTGAAATTGAAGAGCGACAGACTATTTCTGACCCCAAATCCTTTTTGGAAAAATAAAGGCAGTGAGTGGTTCAAAGATTCTCCAATAGGCCAAAACACAATTTCGAAATGGGTGAAGGAATCAGCTCAGAAAGCTGGGCTTGATGTTGACAACAAAAAGATTACTAATCACTCCAGTCGTGCAACAGCTGTGTCCAATTTGGCAAAATCGGGAATCGGTGAACAACAAATCATCAAACTCACTGGACACGCGAACAGTAATTCCATTAAGCCCTATCTTCAACTTGACCCCGAACACCACGAAGGAATTATTAAGAAATTACGAAAAAATCAAACCACTGAAGTCAATACGACGAACGTCATACCATGT